CTTTAAATGACAGTGATTCACACACTTTACTTACAGTGCCTACTTCTCACTTGACTCAATTATATATCTCTTCAATCTATCTGCCGATTGCGCTGGTTTTTCTTGCCAGGCTTATATATTAAAAAGAGGGCATCTCGAATGCACTCGGGCCTTCATGATCCTTCAGGAAACTCCAGTGCACATGCTCCCAGCATCGCGTGACTTCCGCTGCCATAACAATATTTTTAATGTTGTAACTTGGGTGAAATGCTAAAATATAAATGTAGAACATCTCGTAAACTCTAAGATTGCATCATAAAGTGTTATAGCACATTTGAAGCTAGAGTATAAATACTGTGAAGTAGGAAGTTTTCTTATTTCAAAATAGCAAGTGCACCATCAGTGTGTTAGCTTTGTCCAAGGAAGATAATTTGTTTAACTATAGCTAACATCACTTGTAACCTAAGCCTCTGGAAGTGTACAAAAATTAAGACAGAATAAAAGGAGTACATTAAAGTAATTTATGTGGTCTGGATGCTGAATTATTTTCACCAAATAATATAAAAGAACCTTCCAGCAACAGAACTATGTTACAACACTGGTGTCAGAGAGAGACAATACTTTTGGTGTAAACAACAGAAATTTTGATAAAACTTTCATTCAAGATGACTACAAGGGCACAAATTGAGGTAGGAATTCTGAATTCTGTCAGACATGATAAAACAATGGAAAGAAAAACAAACAAAAAGAGACAGAGCATTTAAAGAAGAACACGAAGAAAGGGACAGAAAAGAAAAAATAAACAGAAAATTAGAAGAAAGGGACGGAAGAAAAAAAATAAACAGAAAATTAGAAGAAAAGAAAAGCAAATTAAAAAAGACCAAGAGGACAAAAAATTAAAAGATGAGTTAAAAAAAGGAATAATAAATCAAAAATATATTTCATAATAAATGGCTGACAAAGTTATAGAAGACATAAAGAGAGATTACAGCTACAAGTTTGAAGATATGCAGAAGGACAGAAGAGTTTTGATGATAAAATTTAAGATGTATGAAAACACCTGAAAAAGTAAAGAAAAGCATCAATGAGGTAGAAAAGAGCATCACTGAGGTTGAAAAGAACAAGGAATAACACATCTGGAAAAGGAATTATTAAATGTGAAGATTAAACTAGCCACACCTGTTTCTACACTGGCTCCACCTTTGAACACCACCTGGTATAAAATATGGAATACATGACTTTATTTGATCTATTCCTAATACTAATACTGCTGTGTAACCCATTACTGATGGACCTTCCTGGACTATTCCAGCCATGACACTACTAGTTTTCTCAAGTGTATGCAAGTTGTCTTATCATCACATATTTATGGATAGCGCCTAATGTGATCAACTAAATCTAACTGTTAGGTAGTAACTTTTTTATATAATTAAATACTATATACAATTACTAACAGCTATTCCATACTCCAGAATGTGACTCAGGTATGTTGATAATACATTTGTAAAATAGCCGCACACATATATACACTACACATAAGCTTCAAAGCATCATGAACCATCTGAAAATTCACTATATCAAGGTACAACTCAAAATGGGAGACAGTCAGTATCTTGAGATACAACTCATAATGTTGCCTTAGAAGCTGGGCAACAAATGTTATCAATGGTGCCCAGCCGTTAAAGACGTTGCCATGTATGCATGATGTCATAGCAAAACAGAGAACTTTAAAAACCAACAATTTTTTGCAGTATGTCAAGAAAAGCTAATAAATTAAGGTTTGGTTTGGGTTGTTTGGAATTTTGTACAAAGCTACACAAGGGCAATCTGCACTAGCTGTCCCTAATTTAGCAATGATAGACTAGAGAATGCAGCTAATCAGCACCACCCACTGACAACTCTTGGACTACTTTTTTACCAAAGAACAGTTGGATTGACCTTTACATTATAATGCCCTCATGGCTGAAAGGGCAAGTATGTTCAGTGTGGCAGGGATTTGAACCCAGGACCATAGAATTGTGAGTTAAGCTACCAAACTGCCTGGCCAATTACTTTAGGCATAATTACAAACAATTTCCTCAAAGTTATAAAGTGAATGTGGAGATATGTTATGGTGGAATATTTCATTTACTTATAGGTGAAGAATAGCAGTGTATTAGGCAGCAGATCTTTACAGAAGCCAATTTTTTACAGAACAATTAATACATGCTAATTCATTTAGGCCTAATTTACAAACAACTTCAAAAATATTGTCAGCATTCTAGACAAATTCTGTGCTGAATTTAGACAAGTAAGTACTTTATACATTTATACATGATGATGGGCTGTTATAAAATTTCTAAACCTTATTGATTTATTATTGATTCTTGAAATGTAATCAGTATTTTAAATGAAATGTTAAACATTAAGATTTGCATACAGGCCCAAGTATATAGGTTAAATATACTATATAACAGCATTAATTAATTTGAAAGCAGAAAGGGAAGAGTAGAATATCATAATTACTGTCTAGTGTATGTGGGCAACAGATCATTTTCTGTCTTCATAACCAGTCAATAATTGTTCAATGCACACATCAACATCTCAAGATACAACATGACTCACTATGGAAACAGTCAACACCATTAGATACCACTCACTATGGAGATAGAAGAAAATAAACTCTCATTTCTAGATATAATTCTTACAATACACATAATTCTACAACACCCGAGTTTACAGGAAACCAACATACACAAATAAATAGTTCAACTATCATATCAATAAAACCAGCCTAACAGTGTAATGACAGGCTTCATAGACTGTCTAGTTTCCAAAATGAACATCTGTAATATTGATGATGCCAAGGAAATGAAAAAAACAACAACAGCACATTACTACAACCCTTCTTAACAATGAAAACCTGGAACAGTTATCAAAGAAGATAAACATCAATTGTAATCATGAAGAAAATTATGAACACACACACACACATATTAATTACCCCTCTGAAAATATAAAGATAATATGTAAACAACAAAAAAGCAAAACAGTATTTAAAATGGACAACACAGTACTATTGCAGTTGCTACATATCAAACCATCTAAAAAACCACATTTAAACCATACTTTATAGTTGTGGATTCTAATACACCAGAGAAACAACAAGATCAACCAATGTTTGAATTCAAGTGCATAATAACAAATACAAGATTCAGTGGTACTCCTACCCTGCCAAAACAAACTTGTATCTCCTAGTCTCATCATTCTCACTGTTAAATATGAAAAAAGACGATACATCAACATTATGAATTTCTTTAATAATCTTAAACACTTCAATCAAATCCCCTCTAACTCTTCTTTTTCAAAAGAAAACAAGTTCAGAGATCTTAACCTATCCTTGTATGACAAACTTTCCATCCCAGGTGTCATCCTAATAGCCCTACTCTGAACCCTTTCCAAAATCATAAAAGTGTATAAATAAGTTATGCCTATATTAGTTTTGGATTTTCTGTTGAAACTTTGTTAGAAAAGTTAGGCCTATCAGTGAACTTAGCCTTTAGTAAACATTGTTGAAAAAACAAGTTTTGGCAATAATGTTAGAAAAAAATAATTTTATTTTCAGCCAACATTCTGATATTGTGGCTTCATCAAGCCTATTAGTACAGTTCTTGTTTTACTAGCTCTTATAAAGCTGCAATGGCAAAATTTTGGCTGAAATAAAAAGAGTTCTAAATAATGTGTTAATAAGCCTTTGTAATACAGCCTAGTTATGTAAACATTGTGTGAATACAGTCTTTGCAATATCATTATAATTATATAAAAATAATTTATGTAAGTATTGTGAGAATCCAAACTTTGGAATGATGTAACATTCCTTGATAAAACTACACAAAACTCATCCCTTCACCAAACTAAAGCTGTGTAAGGGCATAATACTCCCTAATAAAACTACCCAAGAACTCATCTGTTCACCACCAAACTAAAACTGTGGAATGATGTAATTTTCCATATAAAACTACACAACAGCTCATCCTTTCACAATCAAACTAAAACTGTGGAATGATATAACATTCCCTGATAAAACTACACAACAGCTCATCCTTTCACAATCAAACTAAAACTGTGGAATGATGTAACATTCCCTGATAAAACCACACCTACAACTTATACCTTCTTCATCAAACTAAAACTGTGGAATGATACAACATTCCCTGATGAAGCCACACCTACAACATACCTTCTTCATCAAACTAAAACTGTGGAATGATACAACATTTCCTGATAAAACCACACCTACAACCTATATTTTCCTGGTAGCAACGAGACTATGAATGCGTGACAGGATTTTTTATTCTCAACATTTTGACTACATATTTTCTTCAGGAAATTATCAGGAGACTTGTAGTCAAAACAGTGAGAAGAAAAGATCCTTTCATAGCATTCATAGTCTCATTGCTACTTTAGTACCCATTTGTCAACATAAATAATACTTTATACTTTCTTCATCAAACTAAAACTATGGAATGATGTAATATTCTTAATGAAAGTTCATGGTAGCCATAGTGAATTATTTCATTTGCTTGTCCTAAATATTAGTAAGTAGTTTGTACTGTCATGTTTTCAATATGAAAAAAATAATGTAATAAATATGTGTGTTACTATTCAATTTTATCATTGAATTTAGAATAAAAGAAAACACTAACCTTCACCTGCTGTCTCGTTTACAGTCACAGTTTTACTACATGTTTCCTTCTTAAACTTTGGACCATTGTCATTCTCATCCTGTTAGAGAAACTTTCTTTCAGTTGATATACAAAATATACAATAAACATTTACACTAAATAAACGAGTTTATCAGTTTATTTATTGATATTAAAATGAAAAATTTACATTTGATCTTTCTCTGTAAGAGTTTAAATTGTTTTGATTATTCAAACACTTTAAAAACAGATTAAGGAGCACTCTAAAAAAATGGTTTCTATGCTGTTACGTGTGGAACTGTGGTGTTTTTGTTCACAGCAATAAATAAATTCCCAATCATTGGTTCAGCTGATTGTAAGAGTATGGTTAAAATTAAACAAACTTTATTCATCCAGACTCAAAGACCTAATCTAAACCACAAATCAGTACAATTATGGCTGAAAATGTGAGCAAAACATATATTCTACTGAATCCTTCAAAATTAAAGATTTTCCTTACCTTAAAATCTATTTCCAATGGATGATCACCTCCCCACACAGTTAGCTGTCTTCCTCATGCATCTGCCATAGAGAGTTTGCATGCCACTAGCCTTGAGGTAACTCCCACCTAATTTCATGTGATTTAACATGAATTGCACCGGTACATGATGATATCATCATGTGACAAAAGCCCTCCACCAATAGGAAGGCAACACACCTCCATGCACAATAACTTCCCCTATGCAAATGCATTCATGGTAATTTCATTCTTTGAAGAAGCAATAAAAAAGTTGTACTTGAAGTGAAGAGGGTGGATGGAAATACGTTTTCAGGTAAGGAAAGTCTTAACTTACGAGACAAAACTCACCCCTTCACACATATTAACTAGAATATCATGTTGAATTGGTGGAAGGGCCAGCACAAATTTTACCTAGTTCAGCTCACTTCACTTCCCAAATGATGCCCTTGGAGTGAGACATCAAATGGCAGAGAATCCATAGGGGCACAACTGTGGGGAGTCTGCATCTTGTCTCGACCAGGGTATACTTTTCACCTAAAACGGTAAGGGGGAAGAGGCAAACAAGCCTCACATGTTGCATAGATGGGTGGAATGAGATCATGACCATTCAAGTACTTGCACACAAGTGGTCAGATAACCAATATGTGTAATGTGGTTTGGGTGTGTTCAGACTGTTCCTAGTGTGCTCACCTCAACTCCACTGTCAGACTCTACACAACTCCACTTGTGGAAGAAAGGTACATTAGTTATATGGTATTAATTTTTGTGTACATCTGAATTCTACCATCAGACTCCAGCAGTAGGAGGAGGGCAGGTTATTGATTCAGTTTGGTTATATATTGTGTATGCTATCTTCAAATCTACTCAACAAACAGTGGCTGCAGGAGAAGGGTGCACCAAATAGATATTATTTGTTGTAAGGTGAGTGCTCACCTCAATTCTAATGAACAGACTCTGGCTGCAGTAGGAGGGCACAAGTGGTGTGTGTTATGGTATAGAGGGGTGAACTGCACTACAGTGTCACCACCACCCCACTTCTCACAATATTGTGCTAAGCTCAACTAGAGAGGGTTCTATACAGTCCACCACTCCAGCAGCTGGGAACTAGTAAGTGGCAGAGATCTCCCATGCCCCACTCAATGAATGGGGAAAATTCACATTGGAGAGACCCGGAAAAAAGTGTTCAGATTCCCACTGGACCTTCAGCTGGAAAGGTGAAGGACTGGACACAGTGCAATAGTTGTCTGCAAAACCCTACTTCAAAGAAGGAAGAGATCCAGTTTGAGTGGCAGTAAGAGAAAATACAATGTAGTACAGACACAGTTCAGTCACCATGACAATTACTTGAGGAAAAGTTCACAAAAGAAGGCAATGGACCTCAAGAATAAAAATCTTGGGTTCACAAGGTCCACTATAAGAGACATGCCCCAAAGGAATGAGGAAGCTAGAGTCCCAAAAATGAAAGAACATGCAGGAAGAGAATGAAAAGTGTAAAACCTGGTGACCAGAGATGCCACAGCTCACAAGCAAAGAAGAGGAAATTGAACATCATGGGACAGGAGAGGAAGGAAACATCCAAAAGTATTGAATATTGAGTAGGCATGAGAAAGGATTTAGATCCCAGAATAAGTTCTCCCAACTGAGTAGCCACCATAAAAAATGGGGGTAAAAGAAGACGAAACATTTAAATATAGGCTAACAGAAGTAAATAGTCCAATAAAAAGAATGCCAGCCCTGGCCCATGAATATGGCAAACAAATGCCTTCAGAATACCAGTGAATACAAGAGTAGCTGATGCTGAGTTGAAGGGAAGAGAAAGGAATGGGAAGACACTAAAAAGGTAGGTGTAACATAAAAAAGGAAGGGGTCTAATACTTTTACTATGGCCAACTGTAAATTGGGTGAAAAATACCAGAGATGGGCTTAGAGGGAGAAGAAAGAGAAATTAGAAGAGAAGAGGAATGAGACCAAGGTGGAAAAACGAAAAGCGAATATTGGCAGAAATTGAGACCAAGAGCAGGAGAAAAAATGGGTACTCAGAGTTGTACGTGTATGATAGTCACTTACATGAAAAAGTCTTCTTGTATGGTTTGGTTTGGAATTTCACGCAAAGCTACATGAAGGCTATCTGCACTAGCCGTACCTAATTTAGCAGTGTAAGACTAGAGGGAAGGCAGCTAGTCATCACCACCCACTGCCAACTTTTGGGCTACTCTTTTACCAACAAATAGTGGGACTGACCGTCACATTATAACGCCCGCACAGCTGAAAGGAGTCTTCTTGTAACTCAAAGACAATTAAAAAGAAGGGGGGATCCTGAAATCCAGAATTGGAAGGTAAGGAGGAGACTGATCTAGATGAGTAATAGGAGTAAAAGTGAGGTCAAGAAAGAGTAAAAAACCTGGGAAGATAAAAGAGTACAGTATCCATAGGACATCAGCCAGGCCACCAGGGAGAAAGGAACACCACTAATGACATCAGGAAAAGAAATGGAGCCGGAAAAATAATTACTACAAAAAAAGAAAGAAGGAGTACAGTAAAGAAGAATGTAGCTCAACCCAATGAGTCCTGAAAACAGGGGAACAACGTACTGAGGGATATAGCAGAAGAAGTGTAACAAGCTACATAAAAGAGAATAAATGTCTACAGAAGCCCATCTGAAGCTAAAAAGTGCCTCAGATAAAGGCAGAGTTAAGAAATGGAAAATAGGAGGGTATAGAGAAAATAGTAGAAAAAGAAAATATGAAAATGGGGGAACTGGAAAGTAAAGTAGAAGGTAAGAGACATAATCCCTGGACAGACAGATACCAATGACAGGGAATCAAGAAAAGGAAAGGAAGAAAGTTTACAAATCACATCAAAGGGAGTTGTGAAAATGAGGGAGATAAGGCATTTGGGCATGTGAAAGGAGCTATTAGAGGAAGGAAACAGTATAAACTCTAATAACAGGAAAGACAAGTTAAACCTCAAGAATCATGGATCATTGAATGAGAAAAGGAAAAATATTAATGAACACAGATAAAAAAGGAGCATACCTGAGAATGAAATTTAGAAAGTTTGAAAAGTTAGTGTCATTTCACAAATGGTGAGGTACTACCCAAATCAAATCAGGTTAAAGTCATAGTCCAAGATATCATTCCCAACTAAAGAAAAAGAAATGTGGCTTGCAGGATGGAAGATGGAGGCCCAAAAAGTAAGTAGAAATCCTTAACACATTGGACAATGGCTGCAACAACCAGTTAACGAGCCTCCTAAAGTCATAGCAGAAATAAGGATTAAGTGTGAACCATGCCACTCACTCAGGACTAAGTATAAATCACCATAATTTCAGAATTGATAATAAAAATTAAAGGTTTGAGATAAAAGCTAAAGAAAATGGAAATAAAGTTTAGTTAATGATGCAAATCTCAATAAACTGAACCCAGATGAAAAATTTAAACATGTTTGTTCAATACAATGCTAAGGAGTGCAAGTGCATGTGGGGAGGGTTATTGAGTCCGGTGTGTCATGTTTCTAGTGGTGGACTTTTGTCGCATAATGACATAATCATACAACAAAGCAACTTACGTCAAATCAAGTGAAATTAGGTGGGAGTTGGTCTCAAGGCAAGTAGCATGCAAATTTCTCTGGCAGGTACACAAGGAAGATAATAAAACTGTATGAAGAGGTGAATTATTGTCTTAGAATTGAATTTATTGTAAAGTTAATAACCCAAATCTTAACTTGAATTAAACCACTATTCCTTTATGAGTATAAAAAGTTAGGAGTTTTAAGTCACATACCCTTAACTCTATGGTGACATTTACAGTGGAGCTCTGTTGTGGGATACCAAGGTCATAAGCCATAACCTCCAACTCAAACAAACGTGTACATACTGACATGCTATCTCCACATTGTGGTTCAGGAAGATTTTGGTCTTCAAAATCAATTTCTTGAACTGGTTTCATGAGTACTCCTTCTTCATTAGAACTTGTTTCACACAGGGTAAAATGGTTAGAATTATGCCGATCAGTAAGTTTATAATTTACTCTACTGTTGTTAGTATTCTCTTCATCCAAATCAGTAGCCTGTAAAAAACCAACACAATACAGTTATATAGTTCTGTCATGGAGGCAACATTAACAATACACTGAAATGTAAGCTTATATCACATAGATTTGTTATATAGCTGTACCATGAGAGGAAACATTGATAACACAATGAAATATGAGCTTATATCACATAGATTTGGTTGTTTTAAATATGAAGCATTAAGTTATTAAAACAACCAGTAACATGAAAATGTAATGTATAGAAGTATTTGTTTGACATAAACATATATATTATATTATTTCAGCATCTAAAACCAAGTCCATGTACATTCACAGTTTCGTTTCTTACACCAAGTTTGCCTCTTTATGCTTTGTACATGTAGCACCATGTACACTTTCAAAAAAGAAGCATTCTGCATACATTATACATGTAGCATTTTACTCAGGTTATACACACAACATTGTATACACTTTGTACAAACAGCATTCTGTACACTTTATACCAATAACATTCTGCACAATTTCTACATATATATATATGTATACTTTATACATGTAGCACTGTGTATACTCTACACATGTAGCACTGTATATACTTCACACAAGTAGCACTGTGTATACTCTACACATGTAGATATCTGTATACTTCATACATGTAGCATTTAACATAAAGTGTTAAGTGTATAAAGTAACACAATGCTATGTATATAAGGTAACATAGTGCTACATGTATGAAGTATATAAAGTGTTAAGTGTATAAAGTAACACAATGCTATGTATATAAGGTAACATAGTGCTACATGTATGAAGTATATAAAGTGTTTGAAGTAACACAATGCTATGTATATAAGGTAACATAGTGCTACATGTATGAAGTATGCAATGTTTGTACTTTGTTACAAGTTCATACTGTTTAGTATGATACATGAAAGTTTGGTATATCATCAGAGACCTACTGTTAAAGCATTATAGTTATTAAGTTATTACTCTGTATAAAATCCATACCACTTGTTATTGTATGTGAAAAACCTTTCCTAAATTGTTACTTTATATGTACTACATATAATTTAATATCTTGACATAAAATTAGATTTTATAACATCTAAATCAAAACACTGAGAAAAATGGTGGGAATAAAAATAAAGACAATACCTTGTTTAAAGTAATTTTAGCTACAACTGTCATCTTATATTTTGAACTTTTGAAAATATTAAAGTGTTTGAAGTAACACAATGCTATGTATATAAGGTAATATAGTGCTACATGTATGAAGTATATAAAGTGTTAAGTGTATAAAGTAACACAATGCTATGTATATAAGGTAACATAGTGCTACATGTATGAAGTATAGACATTCACAGGTATTATAATAGACAGTATGAGCTAAATACAAACATTGCAAACATTCACAGGTATTATAATAGACAGTATGAACTTAATACAAACATTGCAAACATTCACAGGTATTATAATAGACAGTATGAACTTAATACAAACATTGCAAACATTCACAGGTATTATAATAGACAGTATGAACTTAATACAGACATTGCAGACATTCACAGGTATTATAATAGACGGTATG